AATTCCGACCGTAGGTGAGTGTTAAGTCGTACGACCACACCCACAGATTAGTGAGTCTCACCCTGTGTGCACGACCCGACTGAGTGAACTCGGTTTTCGTGATGCTTAGACATGACGTCCCCAAATTCTGAGTAGTTATGTTGCCTGAGTTACGTGACCTTGGCAGATTAGCTTCCAGACAAGTGGTTACCAAACCCATCAGTTCGATCAAATTCGCATTTCGATTTTTTTGTTGCAGCGGTGAAAGCACTGAACACGCCCATTTGTCTCTGAAAAGACGGGCTTTGCAGAGCGAAGAATTCCTATCGCGATAATTTGTCCAAGTTCTTACACTAACAATCAATGGAGGGTAGTGAAGTAGATGAAAGACAAATGCAGAAGAATACCGCTGGGTGCTGACGCAGAGATAAGGCCAGAGAAACCAACCAGTTTCGACATGATAATGTTCGCAGAGTGGGCGTGACGAACATCACCTGATGGGCCTACCAATCAACAGTTAGGTGACCAGTGCCACAAGTGGGCTCGGGATGTCTATTAGGCCAAGGTAATAATGAGCTATGAACTAACTCACACAAGTCTGCTTAGTAAACATGGATCGAAAATGCCTCTTTTGTTCCCAGAATTCGGTGCCTGAAACTTTGGTGACGAAATGAAAGCACACAATAAATGTGGGGAAAGCCAGTGTTGAATTAAATACTGTGATTTAAAGTTACCAAATATTCCGGCAGCATTTCCCGTTTTGTCATTCATTAACTATGCCAGCACTCAGAGGATTATTTGTCTCAGTCTGACTAAAATATCCAGCAATACAGAAGCTGGCTGGTCAACGGAGAATACTGCCCCGTTCAAACAGATGGTTGAAGTATGACTGTACAGGAAGCGCTTCGTTTGATGAGGCATGACTGATGTGCTGGAGCATTTCATTCAAACTGGGTATGAGTATTCGGACAGACTTTTGTAACATGGACATACACAAAAATGAAATTATGGGGCCTCTGTTCATGAAATTAAGGTGAACAGATCATCTGATACCAAAGATTCTCTCCACTTGACCATACAAACGTTGCACCAGTTGAGATCAAAATGTTTGCTGTCAAAAGTCACCTGAAAGTAAACAACTAAGCATCCTTTGCGTAGTTTTTTCAGTGGGCAGTGGTATCTGAACAGCATTGTGGTAATGAAACGTCCGAGTTACAACAAAATTAGACCTCCATGGTTTTCATAATACTACGGCACTCATTTCAGCTCTTCATATGAAAGAGAGACTTATGTGTGCCAGAAACACAAGACAGGCAAAAACCTCAAGATCGTATTTCTGGGGTATAGTACAATTGATCGGTGGCAAGTAAGACGATAGATCACGGTTAAAGTCCTCGGAACAGCACATATTTGGCACAATAGGTGATTTCAATAACTATGTAAAAAGGTCAGTAACAGACAGCCAAACCAAAATCCCATATTAAGCGAAAGCGGTTTCCGATATATTTGTCATTTGGTTCACAATAACAGTACAAGAAATCTAGGAGAGGTGACGGAGATTCGAGTGATTGCGCGATTAGGACACATGTGGTGGTGACAAAATGTGAAAACGCGGCATCGCATAAAGCATAAAGTAAATCCAAGAAGCCTTTGCGAAATCATCCAAGTTACGGCAACGCAATGGCTGTTTGAAAGTTTAAACGACCATGGTAACGGCCACGTAAAAACTGAGTTCCAATCAGACAAGTAAAACAAAGTAATCATTGAACGTCGACCTTGTTGACGTATCACATGCTTCCAGTTTTCGCACATGCCCATCGATTTCCATTTCAAGCTGAGTGTAATACTGAATGAGTAAAACTAAGCCTGAACATGTAAATGCTCCAGAAAATCGAAAGCTGTGCACAGTTTCACCTCTCGGCAGACGGACAAGGCAAAGGATGATATAATCTAGGCCGGATAAGCCAAGCTGATGGAAGGATCTGTTGTAGTCTGATGCTCCAGTCTTCTCACTCTTAGACTTTCACTTTTGATGAGTCTATCTGTCGGTTTTCGGTGTTTGAAACTGCTCCGATATGGGACATTGTTTGATCCATCTACTCAACGCATACATCTTGCATTTGACTTTCACCATCACGTCAGGATTCACGAGCATTTCTCGGCTGTCCACCCGATCCACAGTACGGTTCCGAGTGGCAGTGGGTTAACCCTTGCTCTCGACCAATCTAAGGAACAAACGAAGGACACCAACACGATTCAGAGGGCGGAGATGCCATGTTCAAAATTCTATATAAGACAGAAAAACCAACAGCGCATTTGATTTTTCCGCTGCACTATTGTTCTACTGCAGATAAGGCATAGCACTGGAAACTGTTTTCCGTTAATTCATCTCACATCGTTGAGCTTCTACTTTTGTGGTGCCCATCTGGGTAGTTGCATGTCCAGTGTTGACTACAAACGAAGCTTCAGGATACATATTTATATTTCCATCGACTCAGTTAGTAGCGAGATAAGCAGTCTTCATGCGAAAGTAACTACACGACACTTTTCTAATTAAATCCCCGGGGGTGAGTTGACAGAAAATTTTACACACCCACCGTAGGTCGCGGGGGATGATCGGCCACCATTCCAGGGTATTGCTACATGGAGAGGGTTGAACATATTATTTTTTACTCGTTCTGCCTGTACTTGCGATCACTTTTACTAGGATTGGATGAAAGTTTCTCGATAAGGCCTATAACCCAGTGCTCGAAAAAAGATACCTGCGAGGAAAGACGGAAGTATTGAGGACTTTTTTGACAAATCTAAACGACAGACAGCAAGTTTTGAAAGCAACCTTAGATTTAGACAACCACATATTGCACGATTGGTCTGCTGATGTGCAGTTGATTGTTGGTGCCGCCAATTACTGAACGTCACATAGGGAAATGGACAGTTTCAAGTTCATGTTCAAAATCACTTAGCTGGTTCACTGAGTACTAATGCGGTATGCCCTCGTTGTAATGCCACTCGTTTTACCAGTGGTCACGTTTTAGTTTTCTCCAACGATCTTTCTACTTTATGTCTAGTTAGACCGTCACCCTATCATTTTTGATCAGTCTCTCACATGAATAGAGCTCACTCCGCCACAAACTAAATGAAGCAACACGCGCTGTCGTCATGACAGATGTATCGTGGCGGTCGTCGTGTTACTAAAATTAACATGCTACTACATTGCCGTTGTTTTGGCTTCGGTTAGCGGCTGTAATTTAGTGCTAACACTATCAATTAGACGAACATCGGACGGTCCTACTCGCTTAGTTGATGTCACCTCTCGAAATATGTTCTATGACCAAGACAAATCTGACAGTGTGCGCTGGTGGCACGGATGTACAATGTTCAATCTTGGAGACGGCGCCAAGTGATTTTGGCGGTAAACACATCAGCAGAATCTAGTCACCATTACATAACCCTTCATTTCATATTGACCGTGACTTTGTGGAAAAATGCATCGTTGTTCTTAGTTCACTGATTGCTGACGAACAACACGTACGCTCCAAGATGAAGGCTAACAGCAAATTTGATAGCGCTCCGGTGGATTCGGATCACCGAAATCGAATATCAGAACGTACCCACTTACCAATGAATTCATCTGCGATCCACAATTACCCGTTTGAACATACCTACTGGAACACTAGTTGACGTGGCAATGTAAGTCGGTGCCGCAAATTCGCGAACGGACGACTAAATGTCTCTTACCAAACGTTACCATGGAACCGTACCCACTTGGGGCTGGCATTAGTTACTTTTTCAACTAATTCCATAGAATGTTTTTGCAAAAATTGGCCGAGAAGATGAACTCCAACAGGTCTAGATTAACAATCTAACTTATCCCGTTGTGAAAATACCTGAAGACATCACCATTATCAACACACGGTCAAAAATACGCTTCTCATCTAGTGAAAATGCCTCTTGTGAAACGATCTAACTGGATCCTCCTTCTCCGTTGCTGTGCATAGCATCTTCCAACCGGCCTCATACGGGACCTTGTCGATACTTGGTCTCATTACACTCGGTTACCGCCCCTTTTCGGGAAGCGTAGTGGCGTGAAACGCGAGAGAAGCACACTAAAGCAACTCCTTATTTGTCACTCATTCCATCTCATATGGGGCACTCTTCCGGTCAAACATACAGGATGAGCGCAATTCGTACTCTAGAATAGGACGTTCACTTTTACAGCCAGGACATTCACTCTGTTCACGTCCTAATATCCTCACTTCTGTAAGGTCAAGTAAGCTGCGGAACCCACGTCTGACATTTTGGTGCGTTCTCATTGGTTTTTTGCACCCATCCCCTCACGAACAATGGTTCGGTCAATGTTTTCTCTCTCGCAATATAAAATAGTTCGGTTTCGTTCCATTGCACTCTGAGTTCAGAACCGTCCAAAACTAACTGAGCTGCCATATTACACCTAAGCTAACACATTCATACTGATGCTATTTATAAACAAGAGGCCCCATTGCTTACAAATTAAGTTGTCCAGAAAGAAATGCTCCATGGTCCTTGGACTAGAAACCATGTGGTGGTCAAACATTATGCGCCACTGAGTTGGCACAAATTAGCATCAAGGAAGTTCAAATAAAATGGGCAGTGTTGTTGACGGCTTAGACCTAAACGGGTCTTGGACACATGTTAGTCATATAGCGTCTATGTGAAGGTTTAACTCGTATGATCTGTTGTCATACATGAGATCAAGCGAGTCCCATTATTGTGCATTCGCCTAAAAATCAGTGTATCCAAACAACGGCAAGCACGAATAAACGGGATTCGCAATCAAAACTAGTCCGAGCGCGAAACACGGTTTACCCTCTCCCGAAGAGACACTGACGACGGATACCAAAATTGTTCATGAATGAGGAGCTTCATTCGTGAAAATTGATCACTAAAAATAACCACACTGTCCCTTCTATACAGCATCAACTCACCACCCGGCACAACTCCGTTACAGAACGCAACGATGGAACGTTTGTAAAGAAACTGGCAACCAAACATACACCTTGGGTTGTCGACATTCTTTGGAGGAAAATATCGCACGACACGCAGGGCAAAGTATAATTCTGATTCAAAAAACTTTATTGCACATATTCATCAACTTTGCATTGTAGTAAAGAAAAAACCGTGAACAGAGCGAGAAACAATAAATCACCAAAAATTCAAGTGGCCTGATCAAGGGTGATGCATCATTTGTACGGGGTTTGGTAGCGAAAATCCTAGATCTGAAATTCCTTTTTTTATTGTGAAAATAAGAGGGACACCATCAATCACCAAAAATAATAAATGGTATAGATAAAGCACAAATTAATCAGTGCCATGACGGCAATCAGAAGATTGGGCTCAAAAATAAGACGGTTGAAAAAAAACTAGCTCAAACAGATAAAATAGCCGAGTGGTGAAAGACTAAGTAAGGACAACTAAGGAGACTTTTCGATTTGTCACCAGTATGAAGATGAGGCAAACACTGATGCTCATAGTCCCGATTGCAAAGAGAACCTGATATGACTAGAAGGAGGAGAGGGACGAAAGTACTTAAGCGTTCCACCCGCCAGCTCATCGGCTTCCTCGCTATCAGATGCAGTTGGAGTGATTGAAATGGATGTAGAGGAAGTGTAGGAAGTATTCGCTTCAGCGGGCTCTTTCACCAGACACCTGCCGGTTTCGGAAACAGAAGCATCCACTGATGCACTTCGGCGGGCCAAGGGACTGGTTGATGGCGGCGAAGACATCTGCACAGCTATTGGAAGGGACTGGAAAGTAGTTAAGTAAAATTTAGTTCATCAAACCAGCTTTAACAGGAGCGGATGCTGATGAAATTGCAACCATGTTTATTAAGTTGGTGTCTGGATGCACGACAGCTTGAAAGAAAGACAGACAGAACGATGGGCTGCTGGCCGATAACAGATGAGGAAGATTGACTTAAACACATTTGCGTTGACCACCTCAATTTGGAAACCGAAGTAGGCCACGTAAACATGCCGCACTGATGCACCTCGGGAAAGCAGCATGATTGATGGTGGTGTTCGGCAGTACCCATGGTGGAGCTTACCAACTCTGGCGATGCGCAAATTTGGGAAGTGTGTAGGCGTGTCTCAATGGACTAAAATGATACAAATTGTACTTGTGGTTAATGCGGAGTTTTATTACCATCATTTGACAGAACCTCTGCCCCAAAAATGTCATCAAACAACTAGCGGGTAGGAGGAGAGGTTTCGGAAAAAGCCTCTGACAACCATGATCGGATAATAAGTCCGAAAATGAGTAACCTATCCCATTGGCTGCGGAGTTCAGCTAGTGTCAGTCGTCTCAATTACTCCGGCCAACTTCACACACGGCGCCGAAAAGGAAGGTCATAGATTCAAATGGGTTAATGATGGGAAAATTGGAGCGAGGGAAGAGTTTATCCTGACTTTGACCATCCGATAATATTGTGATAAGGAAAACCACCAATGTTCTGGTGGAAGTATGAAATGATCCAAGAGTTTAAAGGATCCGAAGGACCGAAACGAGGAACAAATCCGATCAAGGGGCATTAGTGCAAGTCTCTGAAACAGTTACAATCTACCTGGAATAGCAAGAATTTCAACGGGAAACGAGATCCTGTCACATCCAGTATGTGGCGCTCCTTAGGACAGTGTTAAGACCGTGAAATCACGAAATTAGTCAGTGCTCATACACTAAGGAAACCGAGAATTCCAACTAAAAAACATGGAACAGATCCAACACTGCGCTAAGTGGTTGGTGGACGCGTCATAATGAGGTCGACAGTAAATAGCAACTAGCCAGGGGGGTCTTGTGACCAATCCCTTCACTTGACAAGACCGAATAAGGATCAAAGACCTCATGGGACTGAGCATCTAGGGATTCAATCGGGTAAATCGCAAGCCCATTGCTTAGTAATTATCATACACTCCACGGAGATTAATAGTTAGATAGACAGACAAACTATCTGGCTCCATGGATAAGCTGGCAGCTAGCCAACTGGGCCATCAAGACCATAAGTTCAGTAAGTTTATGACTTGGACAGACCTGGCTGACGTGAAAAAAACTCTGAGGGACTCCCGTAAATAGTGCTTGAACCGTTTGAAGGAAGCAAACTATTCTCTTGCACAATAATCTGTACGACGTGAGGCAAACAGCCCCAATGCTACTCCAACGAAATAATACAACTTTACACATGAAGCATCTCTTGTAAAGGAATCCTCATAAAAGTTTTTTAACGGGAAACGTGAAGTAGTTAGAGAACAGGATCCGACTGACACTCCAACTGTCAACCAGCTTTTGTTCGGGAGTGCACTAGTTTACCTTCTCATAGCCAGATGTGGTACATTCTCTGCTTGGAAAGTGCACAACAGACAAGAAGTTCCACCAAAAGCCAATTTATGCAAACTATGAGATTTTTGTCAACCAGATCACCGACTGATCAGACGAACACTAGCTCCAAGAGACCATAAAATGCATTCAGAACCGAGATGTCCACTAATAATATCTGCTTCTTCTTACTCGACCCAGCCAAACCCGACAATGTCAGTTAAACATTAGTACATATCGAAACAACTGCAACTTCGAACTGTTTCCACTCTGGTAAATCTTGTTCAGTCACACATGATATGCTGGAAGAGTAACAAGAGTAACAAGATCTAGCGAAAGGCTTTAGTCGGCCCAATGGGTGCTCTGTCCAACCTAGAACTAGTGTGGTTTGATTAAATGAGCTTCGTATACTTGAAGTCACCAAAATACAGCCCTCCACAAAAGGCACGACTCTATGTAGCTCAACCTACATTTAATCCATACGAGAGTGTAATGCCCCGTCAAGCTGTTCATGAATGATCAAAATGGAACTCACCTGACGCGCTAGGAAATCTGAAACCGAAGTGCTGAATAGTTCCAGTCCACATTCCTCTGCTGTGGGTAGTTGAAACCGTGAGCAACGGAATAAGAATTTGGAAATATTGTCTGTGCTACTGTCGAAAACGGATTGGATTTGATCAGCGAACCCAAATGGGTGGCCGGAAAGTGAAGGTTTCTGTCGTTTGCGACACTGAGGCTGATAAGTCTGGGGTATCATGAAGAGACTAGGAGTATCCCACTGCTCATCCAGGTTGAGCTCCAATTCACATGCCGAGTCGCAACTGGAAAGTATTTCTTTGGCCTTCTCAAGCGTACCGAGTAGACTACGCAGGTGACCACCAATCAACCGACATTCTTCACACACAGAAGTTGCCCTGTAGAGGACAAATGGGAAACAACGCGACCCATTAGTTTTACAGCCGCTGATCAAACGAAACAGCTGATATAGGAAAACAAGGGTTGTCACACAGCCGGAGTGGAGTGACGCCGTGAGACGAAAACTAATATAGTCAGGCGAATCTGTAAGGCCCTAAGGGACGTTGATAGGTTATTCACGTAAAAGTACAACCAGGTCAGTTCAGTTGGACAAAGCGCAGCAAGGGATTCCTGGCATCAGCCAGCCAGAATTAAAGAAATTCCTATTCTTCTCTCGTCGTACTCCGAACCATTACTTCGCCCGCGATGAAATGCGCTGAGGACTTTTTCTTAGTGTTCTTCCGTTTTTGTCACTTTGGGTGTCCTCTTCATATTTCCAACATCATAAAACAGATATCACCCTATTGACGATATGTCGTGCAATGTTCAGCTAAGGTGGCAATCAGAAAAGATGTCGCTGAACACAAAGTTCACTATAGTTAAGTCTGCTGGCAATTTAGGCTATGATATCATCAGTATCATCATCAAAGATAGCAGCAGACGGGGTCACGGGGACTCCATCCTGGATGGCGTACAACACCAACACCCAAACTCTCGGTGATCTCTTTCACGCCTTTTTTCCGCCAAGTCATGTGTTGTCCACCTCGCGCTTTACGCCATTCTGAAGGAGGCGTGGAGAATAACATTAGTCTCGGTAGACAGTGTTTCGGCATGCGTGACTAAACCATCGTAGTCCGTGATCCTGGATGTTTTCCCCGATTGAAGTAACTGCAGCACAACTAAATGCCTGTTTCCTAATCGCCTCGTTACTAACACGCTGATGATATCCACAACCAGCCACGCTTCTGAAGCATCGGTGGCCAGATACCTGAAGACACATATCATCTGTATGCGGAGGCTACGTCTCGCATCCATAAAACAACACAGCCCTTACTGTAGCCTGGTACACACGACCCCTAAGATCTAGTGAGATACCTTTTTGGCGCCCCAAGTGACGCAAATTAGCAAACGTGATTCGAGCCTTTAAGATTCTTGCACTGACTTCATCAGGCACACTTCGGTCAGAGCTAATACAACTACCGAGGTATGTAAAGTTTTCTACAATCTCCAGTGATTTTCTTTAAATTGTAAGGAATATGTTCGGAGACTGCTCATTTTGGAGCATCACTTTGCACTTTGAAGACGCAAGGCGCATGCCAAAGATGGTGGTCGGTCTATTAAACAGGGATTGTGCTTCGCTTTGGTCTTCAAAGATGAGGGCGATGTCATCTGCGTACTCCAAATCCACAAGGCTCTCACCAGCAACAATTTGAACACCGGGGCTTTGAAGACCGTCCAGCGTTCGCCTTATTAAGCTATGACAAGTTCAACATGACCCACATGTGAATATAGATCTGCGTCGCTTTGGAAGAAAATCTGTTAGGATGAGTCTGTGTGCCTCATAAAGACAAAACCTATGCCATTGATGAACATGTGAACAACATTCATTTCAGTGCCACTTTTCAGTTCCCACCACACAGAGTAAATCTGTTTGACGCTTGGTCACGTCAGAGGGAGTTCCCTATCAGACCTGCAATAGAACGCGCATGGTTCAAGCGGAAAGAGGCCCTAAGTGGGACGTGTCTTCATCAAATGTATCTTAGAAAGAGATTAGTGGATATTCATGTCAGTTTGACAATCTTGTGAACGCAGAAATATTGGCCAGAGGCTTAGTTTGCGTAATACAACAACACCGGGTTGATACATAATTTAACTCACAAGGTTACGACTCGCACGAGAAGATCCAGTTGGAAAACGACCGGTGGAGAGAGTGTTCTGTAGGCCAACGAGCACACGTAAGATGCACTTTGGTGCAAAATACTAGACACTACAGTCCACGTCTGTTTACTCGCCTGCAGGTACGAATGGTCCGAATTTGGCAGGCGAGCACGCACACCTCCCATGATGATAGATCGGATAAAAGCAGGCAAAGTTGAGTTACGTGCACTCCGTAGTTTCTCCCGGCAGGCGAAACAACTGGCTACATTGAGGCCCAAACCAGCACACACCAAATCGGCTGCATCCAAGCTGTCAGCGACGCTGGTTGATCTATTCGGATATGAAGTTTCAACAGTTCGGCGACGCCTGGCTTTGCATCTGGGTCCGTTTGAAACTTTTGTTGTTGCAGGTTTATGCAGTAGAGGTGAGGATAAAGCCTCGGAGTTCAGATCTGGACGGGATCGAGATACTGAAAAAGCGTCTGTGTGTCTTCGATTGTTTACGAAAGCCCTTGGAGTTTGGTGGATCTGACAAGCGATGAAGCCTTAAAAGACAGACAAACCAGGTAGAGTAGATCTGAATTCGACCTGTTACTAGTGACAGCGAACATAGCTGCCACCCAGCACTACTTAACAGTGAAAAAATCATTGTCTCAGGGACCCTCCTGTTGTTCCCCTATTTAAATCGTGTAGAAAATTCATAATTTAGGACAAGGAACCTTCCTAACTGAGTAGTCATATGACGGCTTGTCTTAACTGGAAGAGTTCACCCAGGGACTCTGGGAATGGGTCTACCTGATAAGCCCCAAGAAGAGCGGAACCAGTCGTGGCCTATCGGTGCTTTTTCATGAAGAAAGTACTTCATTTCTGGAGACTTCGCCGACTTCGCTGCGATAGAAAATTCCGAAAATCCTAATGCGAATTTTCCATCAACTATCGATTGCACTTTATCCTACGGGTGCTACCTCCCCATTGGGAGTGGATGGCAGATTACGGGATGCAGTAAGATTAGTTAAAATCACAGTAGAAAACAAGAAAGTTCACTGTTGTTCACGACAAACCGCCAATTATGAACCGTCTAGTAGGCAAAAAAAAACTGAACGGGTACTGTAAAAAAGTACTTCGAAAACGGATGGCTAGGCACAGAACTCACCCCGTGTAGTTAGAAAACGCAGTGCGTCTGCATACCCCTGCGCAGCAAGACTGGTGAGCTGTTCCGGACTCATTGGCCACAACATGCTGGCAAATCGTTTTACATTAGTCCAGTTTAAATGCATTGTGTTGTTCAGAAAGAAAATCGTACCGAACCAATCCTCAAACCACTGTGGAGCTGGTGAAGAGTATTGTCCATCCCAATGTGCATCCATTGGACAAATATCAGCCTCACCGAAAAAAGGACTCACGGTGAGCGTACGTCGGTCGATGCAAAGCAAATTGTCCGAAAATCCCCCGTCAAGTACCAACTGCCAACAGGGGGTTGAAGTGCAAGTGCAAAAATAGTTCAAATCAGACAAATGTGTGCTCGACTAGTATTGATCGGACAATAGCAAAATACAAGATGACGACACTCAACTAGAGCAAACTGTGAACTAGTCATGGGCAGTGACTAAGGTAAGACGGGGAAATTCAGCTGTGTAATCTCAGCAGCCATGAACTCAAATCCAGCATGATACGCAGTCCACAGAATAAACCGTAAAATTCAGTCATCTCATGACTAAAACAGCGAACTTTTTTAGCAATGAACACAGAAAATCCTTGTCCAGTAAATGTGGGTGATTTCATGCTGCAATTCAGCTGATAAAGCACTTATCTAACAGTCAAAAGGTCACAGATTCGAACCCCGCCCCCAATTTCCCCTCATCTGTATTCAATGAACTCAGATTTTTTTTCTACATCGATTGAGCCGAATGTCCTTGGAATAGTTGAAACACTGAAAATTACACATGCCTGTCACTGTAGACTATGGCACATAACATCCTGATTTAGAAGGCGAAAATGTAATCAATCAACACTGAGTTTTAGTTTATATGTGCCTGAATCCGCGGAAGCTCGATTGGTAAGGTGCTCACATGACAATCGAGGTTACATATTGAGGATGTTTCCCTTTCTACATTATGTGCGGTTGGGTTCCTGTTCAAGATTCCTATAACGAGTATATGGAATAAGGGGCCCCGTCGCATCTAACGTAAAGGTTCAACAGGCCGGTTTCGCAAAATAGATCTATCCGAAAAAGGGCTCCTCAAAAAGAAAGACCGCTAGATCACAAGTGGCATCTTTTCAGGCGGAATCATTTTGTTAAAGCTCCGTAAGTGCAACAGACATTTTATTTTCGGTCTTTAACATCAAGCTGGCGTTACTAGGGCCTGCTACGAAATACGTGGCCTTAGACCCTTCATTTTACACGAATGAAAAGCCGTTTGGTTCGATGACTTCACCCTCTTAGTAAGACCTGGATAGACTGAAGGAAACCATCTCCAAGATGCTGATGTTCGGCAAAAGGTAGAAAAGCATAAGTCACATAGACACATCCAAGAACAGGATGACAGGTTGGTCGAAAAAATATAACAAGACGTTAGTTCCGGTACTGTTATTTCTTCTGAATACATAGTCCTTCATAGTAATGCAAAAGGCTCACGTGACAAAACTGCACATCAAAACGGTCTGACCCGACAAAGAGGTGTGTACTCATAGCATTGATTATTGCATCATGAGTAAGGTTTCTGGAATGAATATGTAAGTCTTCGTTTATCAAACAGGATGGATGGCAAAAATTGTGTTTGTGTTTCCAGATAGAGAGAAAACCTAAAGATTTATTCGTGGCAGAAAACAAATAAATGAAAGCAGGCTATAAACGAATAGTGACTGCACCTAAAACGGGTAATGACAAAGAGTACAGCTTTCCCATTAAAATGATCTGCAAATCGTATTTCGGCGTGAGAAGAGCTCTTTCGAGGGAACTGCGAACATCCTCCCCTATAGGCAGCCAAGTAATAGAGCTAAGATGGAAACCTCTACGTTCACGTCCTGCTTTCTACTAGAAGCCACAAGTGAAATGTGAAACCACACGATAACCAATAACACACCAATGCTAAGAAAGGGGACGACTGCTCACCAAATCACCAGCCTAAAACTATTCACATCGGTAGTATTCTATGCGAAGATAAAAGCCCTCCAAAAAATTCAATATATTATCGATGCACTCCGTGCGGTTGTATGGGAAAGTAACTAGAGCCGAGTTTCAATGATAACAGGTATTTTCATCTGCAACGTTAGTTTTGTGACAGCGGTTCGTAACCCGTCGACAACACCCGTGAAAGGGAACATGTCACCTAAATGGTGGTAATCTGGTGCAAAAAACAATATAATGGTGGTTATCACGCAACTGAAGCACCAATGCTTCATACAATCACTGTTATCAGTGATGATATTGACTATAGAACAAGTAGAATATCGTATTATAGTCTGTAAAACAAGATACGTACCTGGCCACGAAACACAGCTGGCACAAATCCGCTGAAAATCGGAATGAAGGTGGAACAGAGGATTGCCTAGAATGTTTACATAGAGACGAGAATATGTTCAAAACTTACAGAAATCAACTCATCGCGGTCCTTGAATCGATTGACAATCACATTCTTATGTGTTGCGTAAGATGTTAACGAAATCGAGAGTCTTTCGGAACAAAGGATGTGAGCGTCTGACGGGAGGATTCGCGAAAGACCCTCTCTTAAATGCTCGTTGACTTTAAATCGAGGGTCAAATGGACCGAAAAAGTACTGTCGGCAATTCTTGATGAGTTCACAAATATATTGTACGATTTCAGCTAAACTCAACGGTAATAGAGAAAGTACGAACCAAAACATATACTTACCAATGTTGACGTCACAAACTAGACAAGCAGCAGTAAGAGCTCCGGCACTAGCCCCAGATACTGGCTTGTTTTTGTATAAATGAGGGGCAAACTTCCGTAAACAACAAACTACTCCGACATGATAAAGTCCAAGAAATCCACAACCCGCAAAAGAGAGATTATACTTCAAACTTGACAGATCACGGTAGTACCGGTCGTTATCTGATTCATGGCTCATGTTGCCAATGGTAGATAAGAACTGTTTAAACAAGGACAAAAGAGGAAAGATGGTAAACGGCAAGGATGATAAAACAAAAGCGCATGAATTGTACTTGTGAAAGTTCCGTGTGAAAAGTGCGATACTTAAGGGACGATTCAACGCCACATCCTCTTACTTATCTTTGCATATCCAACAACTGTCACTTGGAATGTGGTCTAACCCCGAGAAGTTCACCCACACTTATTTAATTGAAGAGATTGTCGGTGGAGCAGGTTGTAACGATGGCCGTTGGTTTGTTCCAATGGGGACGATACATTTGCAATCAAATTACCCAACTCAGTGAACAAACAACCAGCCAGACTTATTCACGTTGCAGGAAGATGAGGCAGCCCCATGAATGTCCCAACTCGTAGTTGCCTGATGATCGCAGCGAGATCCGCAAAGATCGCGATTGTCTTATATCCAGCGAAATACACCACGGATACCACATTAACCTGCGTTTTCAGTTGACATTGTCAACTTCTGGAAAGATTTGCATCAGTGACTTTCACCAACTCGGTTTGTGTGGATGCCCAAACCATTGCAACGTTGCTGGCTATAGCCTAAACGGATGTATCCAAAGGTTTTTCCCGGAGAACATTGTTTTCAAAATAATCCAGAAACCAGAGGTCAATGTCTCCGAGTGTTCGATTATCTATGCATCACAGTGGACAGTAGATAACCGGATCCTAATTTTAGCCATCAGACAGACCCCAGCTCTTGTGTTAGTACATCTCTCTACTAGAGAAACGCGCTAGTAATGGGATGAACGTTGATCGATTGTGTATTTTGATCTTCCGACCTGATTCAGTACTGTAACCATCTTGCGATTGGACATCAGTCCCTTAAAATTCTAGCATGCTAGAGTGACCAAGAGTAGCAGTATCACAAAACAGCGAACTCATGTGCTGCGCAAAATCGTATTGAGAAGCGGTCTGAAGGTAAACTTGCACGACGTGCTACAACTGGAGAGTGAGGAATTACGCCATTTCCCCTTAGTGACTAGTGATGTTGCCTACCCACGAAGAAGGTGGGGTTGGAGGATGCTAGCTCCAAAGACCTCACGCTCCTACCTTTTGTCGGCCTGCCGTGACCGTTGGCGTATTATGCAATACGGGTAAAGAACACAAACCTTACTTTGAATCTAGTGCGGATTCAAACGCATCGCCTGGGTGCAGCAGCATAAACATTCAGATAGCTGTATCTTAACCTTAGCGCCCGCGGACCAAACTAATTGTATGCACTCAAGTGGACTGGGCTACTCAAGTATTTGGCTCTGGAAGAAGTCCTATAATAAATCCCAAAAACTACTGCCTATTATTGAACTGGAGCCTCAAGTTGTGGTGCTTCCACCAAACCGTCTTCAGCTTGGGTAACCGAGGTTTTATCACTCGCCCTCAAAACTGTCCTTCTACAGAGCCACTTGCACACTACTTCAACTTAGCCTTCTTGATTCATTTAGCTATCAGTCAACCAGCCACCACTTTGTACGTAAGTTATTAAAACTAAGCGAACTGTAGTAGACCCTTATTCGAGTCAAAGGAACCATATAGTAATTCGGCTTTCAACTTCCGTAATCCATGCCTAATCGGTCACAAAGTATCTCTTGCTCACACTTTCCATTTCGATCGATATACATGGTGTCTCCCAAACATGAATACAAGAGCCCCGTTCGCGCATACTTCTAAGCTACCCAACACGAACCCAGCTTCTTGTACTTCAATCTTAGGGGGTGCCTCGATTTCAATGTGATGGCTGGTTGTATCCGCGGTGCAGAATTCACATTTAGCTCATGGCTGAATGCGCTTTATAGCAGTGGATTCCAGTGAATGACCGTCCTTGTGTTGTCTGTCTGACTGGTTTGAATAAGCTAGGTGTCTCGACGAGGTAAGTGATATTTATTTATCGATTTGGGATATGCTCGAACATAAGGTGATCCTCAGGCTGAAAATAACTTTGTCGATTTTTATCGCCACTGATTCCGTCAGCGACAAGTATTTGTACGGTGATTTTAGCAGATGATATGAACTTCTGGGTCGGACGACCAAGCTGAGAAAAAGCTCATCTTAGTAGTGGATTCGGGATTGATGATCACCGCACAGATAATGGGGCCGGCCTATGAAGTTACGTGCTGAACATCATTTGTCTTCAGCCAGCAAGGGCTTTCGGATCAGGCACTCACACTGTTGTCTGAAGGTTACCAACTGCATACCAGCAGCGGAATCAGAGGAATCATGTGGCAAGTAATCACCGAGAGTGATCTTCAGTACAAATTTCGACGCTTGTCTTTGACCAATTTGTTGTGCAACAGTTAGCTTCTCCTGGGGGGGGGAAGGTAGGTGCACGCAAGGCCATTCAGTTCACCACATCCCAAGGTTCTCTAGACCTAAAGATGCCACCCTGATGTGCTACTCGGGCTTGTAGACTGTAATGACCTCGCGGGCTGCATCGACTGAACATTCCACAAGGTGCAATGACTCCAGGAAGGCCAAAGAAAAGCAGCAGCTCAAGAGGCAAAATTTCGTGCTAAGAGTAATCGCATTGCAAGGCGGTCTGAGGATGAAGCCGTACTGTTCTATGGGATGGTGTTGTGAAGGCAGTAAGTTGTTCTGCCAATGCGACCAGTATATCCATATTCAGAGAAGCAGCAGTGCCGCCTTTCGCCAATAAACGATGGGTTAGAAAAGGTTGGCCGCCAAAACCGCATGCTCAGATCACCTAACGGTTAGCCGTGATCACTGGCAAGTTATACAACACGGTCGAGAAAGTAAACCTTATCATGAACTCGATGAAATTCTACATGCAGCTACTGCGCGCGATAGCATCAGGAGTAACGCATCTACGTCTTATTCCCTGCGTCCTCTGGCTAGGTCAGCACCGTCCAGCCGAGCAGGCCAGACTATTGGATCCTCGGCTCCGTCCTAGGTCCTCCAAGAAAGCCCTATTTCTCGCCACCTCTCAGGCCTTTGAGTCAGTACCTAAGGACAGGGTCCCCGAACAAAACTCCACATACTTCTGCTGCTCTGTAAGTCGAGGTTTTGAGCCAAAGTGGGGCCATCAAATAAACCCTAATACTTGGACTGGTAAACCAGGAAGTTTCAATTGGCTATACAGTTCTTTATTCACCAATGTCCATCACCAATTCCTCCACACTCTAGAAGCAAACGTCGCTTAATCACTTCATTGTCATATATCTGACCGATGTGATTTATCTACCCCGCCACCCGTTGACAATAAACATAACGAACGACACTCCACTTAATTTATGAGATCCTTCCTACATAGGAGCCTTCAATTACCATACGTTATGTCAAATTAGCAAACAGGTAGTGCTTGCCAAAACCACATCCTGCAAATTATACGAATGCTGCTCCTATAGCAAGCATACAAGACACAGGCTTGATCATGCATCCTACGGCGCAAAGGATGAACTCAGTTCTTTGAGACTTTCGTCTTTATGTCCGATGAACCAGAAGCGACGACCCCTGGAGTATAGGCCGTATGAGATCCATCGACAGCATAACATCAATGTTCAGCACTAATGCTTCGCTGTCGAAGAACCATGATTTATTTGAAAGCCTTATTGTGAAGAGAAGAACAAAAGCGAAGCCAACAGTTTCGTCGTGAATGGAGTCAACCTGATCCTTCTGCGGTCACCTCACTCACCACGAGCCTCTTTTTGAAAATGAGCAATATCACAGATACCCCACAATTGTCTCGAACATTCTCATTTCTTCAAATGCACGCAAACAGATCAGACAAGCGCTGACTGAGGACTTCAGCCCCATATTTGAACAATACGGGTGGGAGGTCATCCGGAGCAGCACTTTAGTAGTGCTTTAGGTAACACATGCAGTCATAAAACTCCGAGGCCCTAGGGGTTCCACGTTCACCATCCAGGGTTCTACATCGATGTAGGGCTAGATGAGTGGCAGAAGTAGTCGACAACAACTATTCTTCAGCCCAACGGTCGGAGCGTTTTTCTTTATTCAAGATGGTCGCTCTACTCTGATCCTTGATGGTTTCGCTCACAGGTGACTTCCGTGGACCGGCTGCATGGATCAACTGCAATACTCTGAGCTCATTCCCGGTTTTCCGGGCCCCTTTCATTCCTTCAGCTTTCCGAGTCCATCGAGCTTTGCGGTCCGCGCGGATGTTCGCTTCCAATAGACGCCTGACGATTCGTCAGGCAAAATTATGTTCGGGATCAAGAGGGATATTTCTCCGAGACTTAGGCAGTGCCATTATTCTGTCTGACATCCACTGTTTGAGTGCGAGTGACTGCCACAGGCAAAACTCCCAACACTGTGCAGAGAAGTGGCAATCTCGTCCCAGTATGAATTCACATCTGATAGTGGGGCATCACTAGCGCCATCATCAGTGTTCAATACCGATGCTTCGCCATCGTACAACCATGATGTATTTGAAAGCCTTATTGTCAACAAAAGAATAAAAGTGGACGGGGAATGGGGTTATTTCTGGCTTACTACAATCGTTCCGAGGTGCATACACCTCCAAACACCTATTCAGGCAATCTGCATGGAAACTGAAGACAAGATCGCTTCTGAAATCGGATGACAGCCATATCTTGCATCGTCTCCAACCCGGCGCAGTGAGGATCACGCGGTCCCCATCCTGGAAAAGAAAGGAGCGACTCCTAAAAAGCTCGTGGGCTTAATCCACAAATGTATTCCGAAACGAACGGCATTCAGTTCGAGGGCGGCACGCCAATGGAAGACACCATATAGTGTCCTCCATATGCATATCGTTAGACGACTTCGGCTATTACGTAGGTTAGCGCTAGAGGTGAGGTGGCTCACCGGATGGCTCATGGTTCGAAACCGATCTCGGAATCTCGACTTCCGCTGTTTAGACTTGGGGAACCTGACCTGATGCTACCTTCGGGTGGCATGCCGGCTAGGCACCCGAAAGGTGCTAAAGCTAAACGGTTTATTTTTATTTATTATGGCTAGTGCTGCGTAAAATCAGCTTTCGGCCAACATACAGCTGGA